CAGTGTTTTGATCTAGACATGACAAACATGCTCTATACAGGTAAATTGCAATTCTTAACTAAAATATTAATTTGTTAATAATACAAAAATTGTATACTCCATAAATAACAAATCATCATCATCCATTGGTATCGTTAAATAAATAATCCTACGTACCTTGTTATTTTACTAATGCATACGCATGCTCCGCTTTTTCCTTAAAGATATTATTACTCATACGACGTGTGCACTCACATGCTGCAAAAAGTTGAATGTGGGCAGGAAAAACTCTAATATGACACAAAACTATTTATGATTAATGTTCAAAGTTTAGTTCAGACGCACAAAAAATAAATATATTCTAGCGGGAATGCAAGGAATATGCAAACAAAATAAATTACCAATGAACTTCCATCTATTTAAAGGATTTTCTCATAGTGTATACACACACACCTTTCAGCTGGCAATGCCCGTTAGGTGCTTTGCACATTTTCCAAATTAACCTGGCCGAAACCACCCAAAAGCAGCCGACACACACGAGAGGCGTTAGTTTAAGCGGCTTGCGTGTTTGACGGCCGCAGTGCATATGTGTGCGTTAACCATTTCTATTGCCTATCTGTGGGGGAGAGCCTCACGGGGCCATCGAGGACACCCAGGACACTCAGGACAGACTGAGCCGTCTGTGGGTGTCACGTTTCGCCAGCCAAAACATCCGCTGTGAGTGGCATACGCAAAATACCCGACAAAACAATGTCAACGCTGACTGTGCCAGGCGTAGTATAAATATAATTGGGGGAATGGGACGCTTGGCATGGCAATGACTTCATTTGGATAGATTTCAGGCGTGTGCGCAGCGCAATCTGCCATTTAAAAGCGAACAATCAAATGTCCCAATTCTGTTTCAGTTTTTCGACCAATAAAATTCAATTGCTCTCCGGTCAAGTGTCTAATTAAAGCCCATTCAGTGGAGAGCGGAAACCGGAATAACCAGCGAGTCTAGGGGCAAATGCAATCGGCAGCTCCATTGCAGATGTAAAACTCAATTACGCGGCCATTGCTGGCGGAACATTGCAGTTCAGTTGCCATCACGCCAGCAACACGCATGTGATTCCCCGTTTCCTGCCGCTGACATTCTCGTTTCGCCCGCCACTTGGTGGCCATAATGTGTGGCCGTCGCAGCAGCAGCAGCAACAACAGCAGCAACACCAACAACATGAACAGCGACAGCAGCAACATGAACGACACCGCAGCAACACCAGAAGCACAGGAGCAACATGAAAAGCAACGACTGCTTGAGCTCCTCTCTGCGGCTTTTTGCACTTGCTGGCGTTGACTTGGCCAACGGTTTGTGGCTTTTACTTGTACTTGTAAGCCCGACCGACAAGCAGCCCGGGATCTGATAACGGTAATGGTGATGATGACTGGATGGAGCATTTGCCAAATCAATTTAGGACATAAGGGTGGCCCTGACTGAATGGCGAAAAAAGAATGAGAATCCCAAATGGATATTGGCTTTCAGGATAGGGAACTTTTCACCGCAAACAAAAAAAAAAACACGTTGCCTAACCCCAGGCGTTGGCCTTAATGACTCAACTGCGTGTGCCAAACTGATGATGCTGTTTGCCTTTGTCAACTTGTTTGGTTACAAAAAAAAAAAAAAACAACAAAAATACGACCGACACCCAGAACTCATTACCCCTGCCTGTGACGTCACAGGGCCATGCCCTCTTTAGCCCCCTTTGGAATGTTTGTGCATTCGAGATTTCAGTGTGATTATTTGCATGCTGTGCACTGCTGAGCAAACAATTGGCAAATGAAGAAGAATGGGCGAAGGGTTTGCCGGAAACGAACCGTTATTGCCACACAATCTCGGTGTGCAAATATTTGGACTGTATAAAAAATCGCACACACACAAAAATTACAGTTCCAGTCCGACGCCCATTTGCTAACAAAGGGGCGGGGCGTTGCGGTATCGGGCGGATACCGTTATTGATTTCATTTAAAATCACACTCTAAACCTGCAGCAGACATTTAAGCTAAGGAAACAATCGCACGATTGAAATTCCAAACTTTCACTCACACACATGAATGTCGTCCTTCAGAAAAGTTTTAATTTTGAATTATAATATCTAGTACATTTTAAGGATATAATCATCGAACAAAATATTAGTATTAATTATTTTTATGATGTTATGTTTCAGTTAATCACCACTCCAATTATGGTGTTGCTTTAAGCAAACATGAACTTTTAATCTCTGATTGGGTCAACTTCCTATAAATCAGATTCAGTTTCATGTTAGCTCTACTTGAACGTACAAACTTATGAGCTAAGATCAGCCCGGGGCAGTTACCATAATAAATTTATAACAAACGACATCGGGCAGCCTAATAAATGTGGACCTATTAGTCCGAGGCCCCAAGCAGCGAGCATTTAAGCAACCGAATGCCAATTGAGCGCACACACATGCACGGCCAGAAATTGTGGCAGGACAACGATGTGGACATGAAATATTATTTCCTCGAGAGAGCGGAAGAGTGGGCACGGGAAGCCAGATGTATAAATAGTTTGATTTAGTGCCGCTGCTGCAGCAAAAACGATGACTGTGAAAGCGGCAAGGACACGGTAGAAAGAACAAGCGGTGGATGCTGATAGCAAGGAGCCTGCGATCAATTATTGCCCCATGACTGGTGGCTTGTAAACAAGTCAGGAACGTGCCGTTAATTAGTTTCAATCAAACAACCGACAAGTCATGTATAAATTATGGACCTGCCTCAACCTTTCCTATCCCGACTTTCCAGACTACGAGCGTAGCAACTTGACTATTTAGCAAATTCCCACATAATGGCGCAAGAGTGTTCGCCAGACAAGCCGGAAAAGGGCAGTTTTACGGCTGCGGGAAATGTGTCATTAAAGCGACAATTTACGCACTGGCAGGTTTTGGGACTGGAGACCGGGACATTGCCATTGATGATGCGGCGCGTAAAAATCCAGCAAATATCATACATATGGCCATAAAATTGCACATAATAAAGGGTGCAGTTAAGCGGGCTTTGGGGGTCCGTAAATCACAAAGTTAGCCAGGTTTAACGGCTCACGCAACAATGTAAACAAAGATTGGGATGATTTGCGAACGATTCTCGTTTTTTTTGTTTGCATATTTATTGCATTTATTGATGTAATTCAATCGAGAACTAAGTTGGCCTGCATATATATTCATATCTGTATCTTCAATGCAATTTTCTTCACAATCTGTCTTCCAGGCGCAATCGCCGCTATTTGTATGTGTAGGTGTGAGTTGGTTTGTGTGTTTTCGTGGTTTTTTGTTTAACATTATCGCCGTATCTAATGTGTAGTCTCAATGATGATTTCGTGCGTGTCCAGGTCGGGCACGGCGAACTTCATGGGCAAATAATCATCGGGGTGCATGTGCCCCATCTGGTTCACCTCCAGCTGGGCCCGCTCGTGGTCCTCATGGCACTTGCTCTCGTGCTTCTCGTAGTCGGCAAACGTATCGAAGATGGCGCGGCACACCATGCACTCGAAAAAGCTTCTAAAAACGGTATACGGTTAATTTTAATTTATTGAAATTAACAATAAATAGAGGATCAAGGTTTCTTTTCAACTCTTTTTTTCTCTACCTAATTGTGAATTCTCAATTGGACTTTTCTTTTGTCAGGAATAGCCGAATAGCAATCATTGATAATCTTTAAAAGCCCATTGGTTTATTTGCATGGCCAATAGGAAGCCAGTGAGCTTAGCTTTGCATAACTCTCTAATCTTATCTCAACTAGACTAGACAGATTGAGGTAGGCCTTAAAAGCGTAACGCAGTCAAAGGGCACCTTGATCCCCCATTCTGAAAGTCTACTTACGGTTTCTGCTCCGCCTCGAGCCGCTCCCTGGCCAGGGCGGCCGCCGCCTGAATGGAGGCGGGCACGTCCACGTCGACGCCCTCCTTGATGTGCGACTGCAGGTGGCGCTTGAAGTTGGACAGCTGGGTAAAGCCCTTCTCGCAGTAGTTGCACTGGTAGGGCTTGGCATTGAGGTGGCCCAGCTTGTGTTTCTTGAGGTTAACCAGCTGGGAGAAGTACCTGCCACACCGCTGGCATCGGAACGGCTTCTCGCCGGTGTGTGTCATCTTGTGGCGCTTCATGTTGCTCTGCTGGGTAAAGGACTTGTTGCAGAAGTTGCAGATGAACGGTCGCTCCCCGCTGTGCACCGCATAGTGGCGCTGCAAGTTCACAGCCTGGGCGAAGGCCTTCGAGCAGATGGTACACACAAAGGGCCTCACATCGTTGTGCACCTTCATGTGGCGGTCGAGGTTCCCCGAGTTGCAGAAGCTCTTGGCGCACAATTTGCATTCGTAGGTTGTCTTGTTATGGTTGTGCACCTCTTGCCGATGGAGCGTCTGGTCCCGCTTGCTCTTGAAGGTCTGCAGCCAAAAATAGCGGTTAAATCGGGGTTATAGTTTCGATTTCCCTGATACTTACGCGGTCGCATCGCTTGCAGCTGAACTGATTGACCACCGTCTCGTCGAATTCTACCTCCATGCCGGCCATCTCGCTGCTGGCTAGCACATCGACTCGATCCGACTAGGAGCTCTCAAGATGTGCACATCGAAAAATTGCAGGTCGGGGGGCAATAAATTCACTTTAATTCGGAAATTCTGTAACTCTGCAATTTTTCGCGTCCAGAAAAAGTCATATGGTGGCCTAGAGTGACCATACGCAACGACAGAAATTGATTGGCAAAAATACTAAATTTAAATAAATAACGCACGAAAGGGCTTGACCGACCGTAAGCAATTATAATCATTTATTAATCGTAAAACTCAGTTAAGCCTAATTAAATAAAACTATACATACAATTTTATATGTATTATATTTTAAATTAAAGCAATACTATTTTATTACATTTTTTAATAATATTTATTCACCCTGAAAAACCGTGACTCGAGTATAGTATTTAGTACCTCAATTAGCGACTCGTGTTTAGTTATTTGCCACCTCCAAACAGTGACTCGTGATTCTTCCTGATTACCATCTCTAGTTTCCCTCGATATGCCCAGATAAATAGAAATTCCGGAAAAGCGATTTTCTTTTGTTTACCGCCATGGCTACCTACTCCAATCAGCATTGGCTGCTCTCCCACATCCGCAACTCCTTTATCTCCACGGACGACACCGGGATGTGCGAAACGGTGATGCTGAGTGACGATATGCCCAAACACTACTTGCGCAAATTTGGCAATCCGGGCGCTGGCGGAGACCACTACCACTGGAGGCGGACGCACAAGCCACCTCCTGCGGGTGGAGGAGCAACGCCCGAGCGGAACACCCGTCATCCGGATGCACCGCTCCAGGAGGTTGACTTCGTCTGCTATCCGGGACTGGACCTCAGCGACGATGAGGAGGACATGTCCACGCACTCCTTCGACATCCAGATGTACCCGGAGGTGGGCGCCCATCGCTTTCGCTCCAACACTGCCCAAAAGCTGGAGAAACTCGACATCGCCAAGCGAAGGGCGGCGCGGATTAAAAGTATCAACTACCAGGAGGAAGTGCAGCCGCCCGAGAGGGAGGATTTCTTTAGACGCAAGGAACTCCCGGTCCCGAAGGAAGAACTTGCGGAAAAGGACGACTTGCCGGGCGAGGGCATACGGAGCCAGCTCACTGAGCAGCTGGCCAAGAGCCCCAAGCAAACCCAAAATCGTTTCATAGAGTTCGCCCGCTTCGACGGAACGTCCCAAGTGGGCATGCAAACGAAGAGGATCAACGTGTTTCTGAATATGCTTCCCGAACCGGATCGCAACTATCCGTTGAAGATCTGCGTACTAGCCACTGCCAAAATCCAGGAGGTCATCGGCTACGTCTGCTACAAGACCTCTCTGCAATATCCCGAGGTTCCTTTGAAGTCCCTGCAGCATTACGCTCTGTATATGACAGAAGATAATGATGACTTGGAGGACTTTCCCCCGCTGGACAATCGCGAACCCTGCTCCAAGTTCGGCTTCTCCCATCTAACGCTAGCCGAACGCAGACCCTTGGCGCCGGTAACCCGAGTGGATTACCACGGCCAGCTGGGCACGAAATCCATGACTTCCGAGGAGGACAAGGCAGCAGTGGCCGATGCGGTGGTCAAGGCCCTGCAAAATGTCAACCTGAATGGAAGGACAAGTGATCCAGGAGGAGCAGGTGGAGGAGGAGATAGTCCACACGACAATGTCAAGGAGTATGAAAAGCGCCTGCTCAACCATAATGACATGCTCGAGGCTCCCATGCACCGCACTTTCCGCCTGCACATCATCGACAAGAAGTTCTTTAAATCCGATGTCACCCTGGGCATTTCCGGCGAGAGAATAGAGATCGATCAGTACAAGAACGCCAAGTTCTGGCCGCAAAAGAAACCCGTGTCCACGCCTATAGACTTTGTGGCCCATTGCGAGATTGTGGAGCGTCGCCATCTGAAGGCTTTGCTGCGGATATGGCTGAAGTCCAACTCATCATCGCCTTCCTTCACCACGGGCTGCGCTTCGGCGCCGATCAATGCCAGCGTCACTACCCTGAATATGGGAAACGCCAGCGCGGGGATTGCTCATTCGCCCAACAGTCCGGGTCACTCGTCCGGCTTCTTCACGAGCAGCAATATTCGCTTCAAGCACTACGACTTCGACACGGACACCCACACGGCGGAGCAGATCCACAACAAGCTGAACTGCATCCTGGACATGCGGTCCAGCGATCTGAGGCGCGAGTTCCTGATGCAACGCGAGCGGAAACTGGAGAAGCGGCAGCTGAAGTTGTAGTATTTATTCCTATGGCGGCGGCTGCTGCTCGTGTGCCTAGCAGGCGGGCTACTGCCACTGCCGCTGCCACGCCCCCGCCTACGTGGACGCCTCCGCCTCCTGTTCGATAAGTTGTATTAGTTGCTAACTAAAGATTGTGTTACACATGTTTGCCTAGCCCGTAAGTATTTATTGAACTCACCTAACTACGAAGCCTGGTCCTAAAAATAAAAATGCGAAAAACTCTTTAAATCGGAGCTTGTGTTTAAATTTATCTCTATTTGCATCGGAGCTTCCGCCTTGCTGCTGGCGATTCCAGAGCGGCTTTTGGCCGTATCTCTCGTTTTATTTCCGTTTCTCTCGCCCCAACACAATGTAATTGTCTGTAATCAATGTGCTATTAATCTAACAGACGCCCCAGACGGGGTACGGGAATAACGGTAAACGTATTACTGCATATTGTTTTTTTAGTTTGCAGTTTATTTTTAGCTTCGCAATGCCAGCGATGAATGGATTGGGCTGGGTCGCCTGTTAACAGCTGTGGAGCCGTCGAGAATAATGCCTAACTGCCGTTAGACGATTGTTGCATGCACATTATATGGTAGTATTATATCTGTGTTAACAAGCGATTGTAGCCTGTTCTAAGGCCAAGGTTATCGACTCGAAATCACGCCAAAAACCGCGACATTTGAGGCCGTTCGATGATGATGATGATGATGATGTTGATGCTGTTGGCGTGACCATATCGAGGCAACAGCCAACTCTCGATTTATGGACAGTGATTCACTGGAGATGCAATTCCCCGAGGAAGTGGCTAGGAGGTGAGACCCAATTCCAACATAACTCATACGCCGCATATGCCAGAAATGACTAACAAATACCCGAGATCTCGAATGGGCGATAAAATAAAAGGAAAACGCCTATTTTCATGTTCGATATGTTCAGGCAGTTGGGGTTAAATGATTTATGCCTATCTGTTGCAGCCTTGGCAGAAACTATGGCCCATTCTTTGGGGAGACAAATTTGAATATCGCAGGCAATTTGTCAAATGCAATGATATTTGTAGTATGTATTGAATTTATTATTGGCAAGTGCCAATGTGCGTTGCCTTCGAGTTGCTGTTTTTCTCTTTTGTCTAGTGAATTTCACCGAAAGCAACATAATTATCAGCTAATTTGCGTAAGTGAATTCAGCAGGGGCGGCTAATTTAGACAAGGATGCGACTGCAGCTAATTGAAAGGCAATAAATGCATTGAAACAGCAACAACCTTGACATTGAAAATGAATGACAAACAGCGAAAAGTTCACTCAATATGAAAGTTGCCAGGCATTATGCGATTTTATGGGCGATATATGCTATATTGTAAGCGTGTGGCAGGCGGGGCAAGAAACTTGGCACGCATGTGAGCGGATTTTCACTGCGAAAAATAAAAAACGATACAACAAAAAACAAAAAAAAAAAAAACAAAAGTGAGCGGACCTCGTTGTCAATTTATCAATTGCATAAAATAATAGGCCTAGGCGCATAATTTAATGTCGCGTTGTTTGCCATTTCCGAAGGCCGCTGCACACATATCGCCTATCTATATAGATGTATATATACTTTGTATTCTATGCCTGCACATGCAGATTAATCGCTGGAAATTGCATTTTGCGCCTGAGTCACGCAACCGGACCCAAAAGTTCGATTCGGTTATGATAGCCGAAAGATACGGCAGCTAAACTTCCAATTATATGTACGTACTATACTTTTGAGCCACTCATAAACAGCATTAAGTTATCAGCGATCGGCGTTTCAACTTAACTTCTCATTGCCGTACACTTCCGAATACGCTTCCGTTTTCGCGATGTTTGTTTTCAATATGCTGTGGGAATTTTAATCGCAGTCGGGAAATTAATTGAGCTATTAATAGATTAATTTATGGCATACTCCCCAACGGTAACTGCACGCTGAGAATTGCTAGAATAATTCTACAATTTCATACATCACTGCTCCCTTTCGGTTTCTTTCCGTCTAACAAACAAACTTGCAGGCCATAAACGTTATGTCGGTCTTTTCATTATGGCCATAACATTTTGCACATACCAAAGAGCCGAGGACCAACCCACACGGAGGAGACAGGCGTTGCCCCAATGCGTTGCACGCACCGTAAACCAAAAAAAAAAAAATAGACAAAAAAATAGTTACAAAAATGTACAAAAAGCCAATCGTGGACCCACAGCTCGAAAAACGCTTGCGATTTTAATTGCACAACTTGGGCGGACTGTGGATTGCGGATTTTTTCTCAAAAAGTGCGAGACCCAGCCCCACACTAAAAAAAAAAAAAAAACTATACCAAAATCATTTTGTTTTACCCAGGGGAAATTATTATTAATTAAAAGATATGCTATTTACTTTACCAAACTAATCAAATATCAAAAATAGGCAAAAATAGCTTCCACATATTACACCTTTTTTTTAGCTCTTCATTTTGCACTTTGTTAGGCATAATTTTTTTCTCTGCATTGCTTGTTCTCCGCTCCGAGACATTTGTAACCCAATTCTGTCGCTCGGGAAAGGAGGCAAATGCACTTTGCGATTTACATTTCCACTGCGGCGGCTTAATTAAAAGCGTGCTGCACAATGGCAGTCGGCAGTCGAATAAAAAATATGCTATATGTAACGCCATACCTGGAGGTCAGACGTTCGGTCTCCAACCTGTTGCACCCCCATCTTCATCTCCATTTCCATCCACCATCCACCATCCTTTTCTCCACATGCACATCCCCATCCAAGCCGGTGTCCATCTCCAGTCGAGAATCGAGGGGAGCAGTCAGCCAGGCAACGTCTTCCTGCCTCCGCCGGCGATAAATTGTGCTGGCATCAGCCTCTGCCAAGGTCGCTTCCTTAATGAAGTGCCGAAACCTGGGCTCGTTTCGTGGCAGGCACTTGACGTGGAACTGGTTTTCGGGCACCGCTCTCAAGTGGATGCCACCACCAGATGCAGGTGGTGATTGCAACCTACACAGGGAATAAATTGTGTCGCCTAATGATAATAAATAGCTTGACATACCGAAGAAAAAATAAACAGTATACCATTGAAATATTAACTTTAATTTTAAGAATGTTTTCATGGTAGATATAAAATTCTTTACCTGTTGACTTTAAATACAGTTTTTTTATTCGTCAGCTTAAGATAAAACTAGTTTCCTTTCCACAACTAATTTTTGCATTTAGGAAGCACTTTGTTTTTCAGTGCACAACAAAATAAATTGAAGGTTGCATTGCCCTTGTCCTGAACCTGTTTTCCTGTCTGCTTTCTGCCCCCTGCCACCCGATAAAAGGTTCTGAATTATGTAATCCGCAGCGCCTTTGTGTGCGGGTTCTCATGACCCACTTTTGCGGCCCTCCATACAATTTGCAGCCATAAATCCGTTTAGCCGGACATACAGGATATGCGATCATAACTCATTAAGTTCGCAAAATACACAGAATTAAAGGAGCGTAAAAATGCCAGCAACATTGAACTTGAGGTGAGCGAAACTGGCGAGTCGATTGCCAATTATGCGCCGGCAGCCATGCAATCTAATGAGCTGAAAATGAAAATATTTATGAAAATGCAATTATGCAAATATGAGTGCCGCATACTCCATTTGGGATATCGGGCCTGATCGGTGCTGACAGCCAAGTCTTCCCACTCGAAACTCAAAACAGAGACTCTGGGGCGAACTGAATTTTTGCGTAGGCTCAAGTTGGCAACGCGTGCAAAATGTCAACAGAAGGACAAACTTCAGCTAACAATTGCTAATGTGCGCCGATCGCAAGCAGATCGGCCACCACTATAGATCGGCGGCCCTGAACGCACTTCGACTGGCTCTCGGTGCAAAAGTGCAAAATGTAAATAAACGCTAAATAAAGCCAAATAAATACGTGAACAAAGCGGGCTAACAACAATGCAGCATGAGGCTTAAAAATTGGCTTTTAGAGGCAATTTGCTACCTCCCTCCGGTTTTTTGTGTTATGCTTGCGATTGACCTACCTCAAATGTGTCTACTTCCTGGATTATTTCAAGCTTTGGTCCGCACAATAAAACGAGTTGGATTAATCGATCTTGGAGGGACACGCCTGGCGGTTAAAAAAAAAGAAGGAGAACACCAAAAATACAAATCAAAATTATGATTTTTATTAAATAAATCATTTGCCATTTGCGGTTTGTTTGTTGGGCCGAGCTACCAGGCCCCTAAACAATAAAAATAAAAACTCTTGATTTCTTATTGTTGCTTCGGCAGTAAGCCAGTGTGTCTCTTACCGCAAGGTTGCAAGATTTTTTCTTTTCGCTGTTCATTTATCTTGTCTTTTAGTTTTTGTTTTTTTTTTTTTGGCAACATAATTTACTTGTTGGCAAATCAAATTGTAGGGGGAACTCAGGCAACAATTCAAAATGAAATGCTTGTCGTCAATTGGCAAATTAATGAGCATTTGATGGCCAGTTGACCTTATGTCAAGTATACGCCGTGTGGCCGAAAGCTGAGGAGGGGGAAAACAGGCAGCACCTTGTAATTGGATTGCAAACGTTTGTTCTGGTTCTGTCTCGCCTTTTTCTTGTTCTTGTATAATTTTATCAGTTTGGGTAAACAGTGGAGAAAACACAAAGGGGCGGCTTTTCGTCCAGCTGATGCAACACAGCGTTCCATAAAAATATGGTCCCCTAAAGGGATTATTATCCGCCGCCATTATGCACAAGTTGTACATGAGTATGAGCGGTGATATAATAATGCACAAAGCAAAAGTCGAGAGAATGACGCTGCCAGTGCGGCTCGTTGCGATATTGCACTTGAACTTGCACTTGACATGCAAATTGCCGATGCGATAACTGCGATGTAATGAAGATTCTTGTCACTAATGAATGAGGTAAACAGCGGGATTGCCGGGATCCATTTCACGCAGATTTAATTGATTTTTTTCGAGTTAGGTAAAAAATGTAAGAATAATTAGTGCACAGAAATCAACAGCTCTTTGTAAGATATTATGTACATAAAGATGAAAACCCAGTAGAGATATTTATTACAATAAAAAAGAATACAAATGTATACAGTAATTAAACCATTAAAGAAATATAATTAATTCAACCTTGCATTTTAAAGGTTTGTTCTTGGACAGCAATTAAATAAATTATGAAATATGGGGCACATTTAATGAAGGATGATTTAAACACATGTGTTTCTATTCAAGCTTTGTGTACACCTTCGATTTGTTCTAAAGCGGAACTGACCTGCAATTGATTGATCAGCGTCTCTGGGTTGTCAAGTGTGTAACCCTCAAATTGCAATTTGTTGTCGCTGGCTGCAATTTCCTTCCTGTTTCCCCTCGGAGATAAACGGCTGTTTCTGGACGCAGTAATTGCGATTGCAATTGCAATTGCCATTGCAGTTGTTAATGCAGTTGTGTGTGCTCTGTGCAACGAGGTCAGCACACGAAAAGCACTTTCCCAATTTTCAAACGATCAATGCAAATCGGAAGTGACTGTGAGTGTATTTGTGTGTGTCTGAGTGTGTGTGCGAGAACACTTCGTTGCATTAATGCTGAATTTATTAAATATTCAGGCAGCTAAACAAGCTGACAAATGCAGCGAGCAAAGGCGATTGTCGCCAATGTGTTGCTGTTGTTTTTGGCCATATTGCTGGTGGTGTTGCTCCTGGGTTCGCAGTAGTTGCTGCTGTTGTTGTTGCTCATGTTGTTGCTCGTGTTGTTGCTGCGGTTTTTGATAGTGTTGCTCCTATGTTTGCTATTGTTGCAGCTGTGTTTGCTGTTGTTGTTGCTGCCTCCGTCTGCGATGTGTTTGCTGCTGTTGCTGTTGTTGTTGTTGCTGTTGTTGTTGCTGCTGTTGTTGTTGTTGCTGCTGTTGTTGTTGCCAACGCAACAAGTTTCGTGTGTGTTGCCAATAAGTTGTCGCTGTCGACGTCGCTGCTCTCTCGCTGGCCGTTGTTGTTGCTGTTGCTATTGGCTTTTGTTGTTATCGTGCGTACTTGGACCGCTCAATAACGCCGCCGCCGCCGCTGCCGGCTTCGCTGCCTGCGTCGACGCCTCTGCCGCCGGCCGCCTGCTGCTGTAAACACGAAAAAAGAGGCAGAAAAAAATTGAAACGAAAGCAGAGGGTATTTAACCGACCTCAAATCAATTTGCAATTTCAGTCGATCTCCGCGTTGCAGCGTTGCATGAACTCAATTTAGTCGCGTGCGAAACAGAAAGTTTACACAAGTTCACAAGCTCCGAACCAAAAAAAAAAAACAAAATAAATAAAAAACACCTAAAAGCCTTACGGAAATAGTTAGGAAACGGGCAACAAAAACGTATAAAAAAAACCAACCACAACAACTTGAACTCCAAAATACCCGAAACGCAGTCGAAATTGTTAATTGAACTTTTATTTATTAACTTTGGCAAAAACGGTGTCAAGCGCGGCCTAGAAAAAAAGGGAAATAAAATATATAAAAAAAACCAGAGGCAAACGCCCCAAAGAAATTCCAAGCACGTTGCAGACGAAATTACGCAAACGGCGATATAAAACACACCAGCAACTGCTGCAACTACAAAAGCAACATTAAACAGCAACAACAACTGCAACAGCAACAGCAACAGCAACACTAAATCAACTGAACAGCTGACGTTCAATGAACGCTTCAGTTTCGGGTTACCCAGATGCAGATCTTGGCTAATCCCGACCAGCCGCTGTAAAGTGCAGCTCCGCCGGAGAGCTTTTCCCCAACTGAACTTGAAAGTGAAAGTGAAAGAGAGCGGAGGAAAGTGAAGTAGAAGAGCTTGCCAAGAAAGAGAGAGATTGGAAACGAAAGAAAAACAAAAGAAAACCACTTTTCGCTTTTGCTGGAGTGCCGAAAAACATCTCAGAGCATCAGCCAAGGTCGTTTGAACGGGATAACCATGAGCAGTGCCAAGGATCAGGCGGATCAGGTGGATCAGGTGGATCAGGTGTACGAGGTGAAGGCTCCTCACGCGGGAGCCGAGGGTCACACCTTCCTCGTGAGTCCCGTGGATCCCACACCCATTTTGGCGCCCATTTTAACGGCGGTGCCCGTGATGAAACCCATTGAGTTGCCTTCTCCGTTGGAGAAGCGAAAGGAGGAGGATCTGGAGTTCGATGACGAGCAGCCAAGTTGCAGTTCCCAGGCGGTGGTTCCTTTGTCCTCCTCCCTCCCCTGCAAGCTGCTCCGGATGCACGCCAGGCGATCCGCCCAAGCGCTGCTCCACCAAATGGAGTCGCTGGACTCGCAGCTGGGCAGCAGCAACGGCAGCACCTCGGAGGACACCTCGCCCAGTGCCCCGCCCATGTCGCCCTCGGATCAGCAGCTGGTGGACGTGGGCATGGGCTCCTCCATTGGGGATTCCGAGGAGTCCTCGGAGGAGGGAGATGAACTGAAACCCTTGGCGGTGGATAATCACATCATGCACGAGGTGGACTTGACCTCGCAGAATTCTCCTCCTGCTGTTCTGAGTGAAGCGAATCTGGAGAAGTTCCGCAAGCACCAGATGGACAACATCTACCTGCATCCCAACTTCACCTTGGATGCTTCCCCTCCACCAGCGGTGGCACCAGCCAACTCTCCTGTAATGGAGGCCAAGAGAAGCCATCGTTCGTTCCTTTCCATGAAGAAGGAAAAGGAAGTGGAGCAGCCAGAGGAAAAGGAGCAGCCAAATCTAATTCAGCCTGATCAGGATGCGGAACCCCAAGGACCTAATGAGATAGATAGCCTGGATCCCTCTCTAATTCCCAGTGAGGAACTGGCGGCGGAGATCACTGAAGCCGTGGAGTTCTACTTCTCCAACGAGAGCATCCTCAAGGATGCCTTCCTCCTAAAACATGTTCGAAGGAACAAAGAGGGTTTCGTGAGCCTGAAACTGGTTTCCAGCTTCAAGAGGGTGCGCCAGTTGACCAGGGAATGGAAGGTGGTCGGGGATGCAGTGCGTCGCAAGTCGCGCAAGATCGAGCTGAACGATGTGGGCACCAAGGTGAGGAGGATCGAACCTCTGCCCAGTTTCGATGAGACGATGCCCTCGCGAACCATCGTGGCCTGCGATCTTCCCATGGACAAGCTGACCATTGAGAAGGTATCGGATCTGTTCTCCCGCTGCGGAGAGATTGCCCTGATCCGCATCCTGAAACCAGGGATGGCCATTCCCGTGGATGTGCGCCAGTTCATGAACAAGTACCCGGAGCTGCAGCAGAAGGAGTGCGCCTTGGTGGAGTACCTGGAGTCCTCTTCCGCCAGGGATGCCCGTCACCTGAGTGGTCCCTTCCAAGTCTACGAGATGGTGGCGCCCAAGAAGAAGACAGGAAAGAAGGCGGCCGTCATCCAGATCGCGGCTCCAGTTGCCCGGATGGTGGAGAACTATCGCTACTACAATGATGCCAACTACGAGAGGAGCAGAGGAGGCAGCTTCTCGGGTCACGAAACTGTTCCGGATCTGCGCTTCAAGCTCAAGCGGAACAACTCGGACTTCCAGCCGAACTACTACCAGCAGATGGCGCCCAACTACCACCCCAATCCGAATCCCTACCAGCACTACCAGCCGCGCGGCAGCATTGGCCACCAATCCAGCCAGGATGTCCAGGCTCCGGCGGGTTTTTTCGGCTTTGGTCCGCGAAGATACAGCAACACCTCGACGATTTCGGCCAACACGGCGGCTGTTTTGGCCGATGCCTTGCCACTGTCTTCTGCTGTCAGTTCAGGCGGTAACCCGGTGACCACCATCAGCAGTCTCCAGAGGCGTTTGTCCAACTGCTCCGAGCAGAACTTCCCACAGGAAGGCAATCCTTCGATGTCGCGAAGGGCGAGCAATTGCTCGGAAACGGGAGGAGCTCCCCAGCGGCGGGATTCCAATTGCTCCGAGAGTTGTCCCTGCTCGAGGAGGGTCTCCGACTTTGGCCAGTCCACGGAGACCAGCTACCGCAAGAGCTCTGTCTGCTCCAATGGCAGTTGTCCGGGCAATCAGAGCCAGGAGCGCCGCTTCTCCAACGGATCCATGCAGTTCGAGCGGACCTTCTCGAATGCCAGCGAAACGGGTGGCTTCTACCGGCGACCCTCGAACGATTTCAACCTGGACAGGGAGCCCATTCAGTCCGATCAGCTGGTGGGCGGAGGAGGCGGTGGCTACCAGGTGTGGCCGCGCCGCTACTCGAACAACTTCCAGCAGGTGAGCAGCAAGCTGGCGGCCTACGACAATGCCCAGTACATCGGCGGCAGGAGGATCTCCACGGACTCGGGCTACGACCGCCGCTGCTCCTTCGGCTCGGAGTTCGAGGGATCCCCCCGATCCCGCACCGGCAGCTTCCTGAGCAACTACAAGCACGGAGGCGGCGATGGCTACGATGGACAGCCGCGATCCCGAACGGGAAGCTTCCTGGACGGATCACCGCGCTCCCGATCCGGATCCTTTGCCCAGCGGGCGGCCGAGAGTCTGGTGCGAACTCCAATGGGTCCGGATGGCAGCAAGGGATTCGGTCAGCGGGCCAGGAAGTTCGGACAGACCATTTCACCCGTCAACTGAAGGGGTTAAACAAAATATCAATGAGCGGGGTAACTTTGTTGATTAATTTTTAGTGGGAGGATAAACTGTTATAGAAACCTGAACCGATCAGGTTGTATCGTATGTGAAATTAATGGCTGTACACTGTGATGCTGTCCAACTTGTTAAACGCCCCACACGTACACCCCCGATCCTTAGCCCAACCTAGGTTAGGAACAGAAACCTATAGCTAACCAATTTTTATCACCGAATATTGCGAGGGGTTTTTGTTTTTGGTTCATGTGGAATTCTGCTCGCCCTAAAATTATTTTTTTAACCATTCTTTTATGCAACATAACTACTCAATCACTGCCAATAGCTTAAGCGAAAGAAAACGAGAGATAATTGGTTTGGTAGACACTTAAGATTATACTAATTGAAGTAATCAATACTTACGATTGACCATTAACCAGTTAATAGATTATAGGTTCTATAAATCAACGTTACGTATGAAATACTTAAAGTAGAATTTGGGGCCCAACTATTATCACAAAGTCTCACCTGACTTCTTTAATTGCCTAGAATTCTCTCTATATAGCTGCTTATATCCTTATGAGTTCACAAAGTATCACAATTAAGTATTGTTTTATTGCCCATAAATACTTTTTATTAGGTTAGAATTGTTATAGTCACGCCCATAAGTCGAACGGCTGCCATAAAATCAGTTAATGAAACGTGGCCATAGTTAACCAGATGTGAGTAATGCGGATGCAATTGGAACCAGGATAAATTATTAGATTCTCAGGTCATTAGGTTTAGAAATCGCAGGGCAGGCAGAAAACTATTTCCACATTTTCCCTATATTTAACCCCCTCGTAATTTTCACACCTTTTTCTTTTATTTGTTTTTTATTTCAACCTTATTATTCAATTACAATCTATAGTTAGTTTAATGAATGCGTATTTAGTTTAAGGAAACTTGGTTGTCCTCCCGCGGAAAAAACGGAGGAAACAGCAAAACGGATTATTACAGGAGAGAATAAAAATATTTTTCATTTTTAGCTTTTAATTTTTCGATTTCCCACAGAAGCATTAGTCTGTGGATGCAATAAATTATACTATGCGTGTTAACCATAAATAAACGTATTACAAACAAATTACAAACGAAAAAACTCTTGGGGGATTTGCAAACTGCAATTGGTCCGGCTTATGGGTATTATTGTAATTAACCGACAATGGTGAACTTGAAATGGAGCTTGGCTAACAATTTGCTCTCTTTTTGCCAAATCATTCACCGAATCTTGCGCAACTTGGCTGCTCGAAACTGAAAGCGAAATTCGCGCCACTCGAGAACCGAAGGTAACTAGGCCAACGAAATAGCCGAAAAAATATCAGCAAACTATATATAAATATATATGTGCTTGTATAGTAACAGCAAATCCCAACCAGTCTGCCTTGCCTGTGAAAGCAACAATTTGAATTTTATTGAATAATATTCGTAATTCGTAATTTTTGTCTTCGCAAAGTGACATGAGCGTGACGCATGCGCCCCCAACTTTTTGATTTTGATTTCGTTGAGTATTTCTTTTTGGTTGTTGTTGTTGTTATTCGGTTTTTTGATTTTTTGTATTTTGGATTTTTTGGCGAACTCGCCCGCGGTTCATAATTGTTCATAAAGCGGCCGTTAGCATTGTTATTGCCTTGTCTCCAGCCTCTGGGGCTGAATTTCGAGTACTCATGCCTTAACTTAATCGTTGCCGTGCGTGCGATTTTTTTGTGGTCCCAAGGTATTTGTATTTGTTGTTGTTTTTGCTGTTGTTGCTGTTCACTTTTCAGTTCATTTTTGCTCGATTTTTACTTCTCTTGGCTCCGCTTCGATTTATTAAACAATTTCAATGGGTATGCAGGCTCGAACACAAGTGAATGATTTTTCGCACACACGCATCCCGTCGCACCGCCCACAGTTGCCTGGCTTTTATACTTTTCGCTGCGATAAACCAGTTTTTTTTTTTTTTTTTTTTTGGCCAGGCCAAGCAGGCTGGCCAGCGCACTGAACTAATTGTCGCATGATTTTTCACCGCGTGGGCTAAATGCAAAAGTGCAACGCCACAAGCTCTGGCCAACGGGAAGCATTTGTGCGTAGATTGCATAACGATTTTTGGAGGGGGGATATATCCCGGTATCCCAATTCCGCGCATTGTGAACACCGATCGAATAGCTCAGGTTCAATTGCTCGCCTGAATAAACTTCCTGGCGAACTCCCTTTTTAATTTATGCTAATTAAACGTGCTCAAACAGGAACACATCCGAATCAAAAAAAACCAGTCGCATGGCTCGTGGTTTTCAGAACAACTCGCACTCATTAAGTGAGAGTTCATCTCCGGCGATCGGGTGTAAATATAAACCCTGTGAATTATCGCCATCGAATCAGGCATAAATTGTGCGGAGTTGCGATCTGACCGATGACATAATGCGATGAGTGTTGCAGCAGTCACAAGTCTCCAAATGCAACAATAGGTGTGGATGCCCAGAAGGAAAACCACTATAATTATTCAAAAGTTGATAAATTGAATGGTAATATAAATAAAATAAATAAAAATTATCCATTAGTTAAATTCGTTTAATATAATATTTAAAAACAATAAACGAATTGGAAGACTTCAACCTAATATAATTTTCTATAAGTTAATTAATATGTTTAAACATCTTGTAAGGTTCTTTGCAAACTAGAATTTCCTTGAGCTGATAACAAACATTGATAATACCCCAACAACCTGATACTTTCCTGCTGTTTCTCTCTGTGCACCACTGACCTTAGTCAAGTCTAAACATTTTTGGCAAGAGCGCGCATCCTTGGACCGGCTAAAAATGTCTCAAGCGTCTCAATGATAAAATCGCCGACTGGCAGAACGTAGAACGTGCCGTGTGGCAAGCAACCGCAAGCAAGCTGCCTCAACCTTGACCGTCATCGAGACTCAAGAATCGAGAATCGAGAATCGGGAGATGTGGGATGTGAGATGTGAGCTCTGCGAACGGCAAACGGGGCGTATGCTCGATTTCCGGAAACCGCTCGCTCGCTCGCTTGTTTTCTCCTAGTCATCTTCAAGTTCAGAAGGCACACTGATATTTATTTATAAATAAAAGTAACCTTAGTCGCACTGCCGTCTCAATAAAGCGTACTTGAAGTGCGCGTAGAAATTTCCGCACCACATTATTAACATTGCCAGTCATGTCGGCGAAACCACAAGTTGCCAGCCACTCAGTCATCGGTTCGTATTGATGAAATGCCACATTGTAAGCCAAAATAAGTATACGCACCGCTGTCTCAGTTGCATAAACAACAACAACAACAACTATATCGAAAACGATGCTGACCTCAACACGTTCGTTCTCACTACGCAATTGGCTAAATCAAACAGAAGCACTAAAACATCAGAAATCAGCAATTACACTGCGGACTTTCGGACGCGAGGGGAAAGCTAATTCAAATTCTAACGAATTCAGGTGATTTGTTTCGGGAATAACCATAAAATTTAATTTACCTGCTGGGTTTTATACCATTTATTAGGAACAGGTAGAGGTTAAAAAACTTGTTCCCACCACAATTCGACAACATTTCTTGAATATTAACTGACCTAAGTCAACACAATACAAGTTTTGGCAGTTTTGTTTTATCAAAAGCAGAATAGAAGAAATGTTTGAATTCAACGGTCAAGCATGGCAAGCAGTGCAAGCAGTAAACGAGCTTGGTACGTTTATCAATAAGCAGTTTGAAAATAAAAGCCTACTTTTCGGCGACGGTAGTAGAAAAGGTTGGCAGCTCCAACCAAGCGCTAAAATTTAAATGCAACATTTGAACACTTGAAATCAAAATAAAGAAAGTAATCTCCCAAAAACTTCAATAAAAACCAGTTCAATTATATTATTTTGATTGCTTTTTGTGCTATTTTTATTTCGCATGTTATTTTGTAATACTTTTTTCTTTTGGAGCAAACAAACAAATTCAACTACATTGGCTCGAGGGGATTTTTCTTTTGTTTTCCGCGTTTTTTTTTGGGTTAATTGGGGAGTTGCCTATGACTAATGTGTATATTTTAAATATAGCTTTCCACATCCGTTAACTTAACATTCTTAGGTATTTTGTATTTTGTTTTTGTGTGTGTTTGTGTTTGTGTTTGTGTATTTTGTCCGCTAATTATTTAAGGTATTTGACTAACAATTAAAATGTAATCGAGGTACTATTAAATTAGACATTCGCTAATGCTCATAATTTGCGTATTGTGCATGCAATTTGACTATTTTGTTGTGATGAGGCGTGGGCGTTGCGTTTGGACCCTTAACTTCCGCTCTTTTTAGACCAGGCTAATACTAAGGCCCATTGGCAATCGCAGGCCGGCAAGTTGGACTGCAGCTTGGTGGGAATCTCGGTGGCTGCCGCCCGTTTTGCGGTGGCTCTGTGGTTCCAGTGGCGCTTCCGCTTCCTGCACCACTTTTAGTTCCACTTGGTCCCAAACCTTCTTCTCCTGCTTCTCCCCTTCCTCCTCCTCCTCCATTTCCATTTCCACTTCCTCGTTCTCTTTGTCATCGCCATGGGTAACCTGATACTCCAAGCAACGTCTCACTTTATTGGTTGGCAGAACTTCGGAAATGGCGCTATCGAATTCCAGCAGGATCTCATCCTCATCGAGTGCCCGCGTCCAGCGCGGTTTCTCCTTCAGAGGACTCATGATCTGCGGGAGCTTCAAAGAGGCGGTGGAGGAGGAGGAGGAGGAGGTGGACTTCGAGGTGGTTGATTCTGCGGGTGGCTGCTCCCTGCTGAGCGTGGTTCCCAGACGCCGGAACATGGCCACCACCTTGCCATCCACACTGGGCTGCGGGCATCTTTGGTTAGTGGTTGAGGTGGTTCCAGTGGTTCCAGTGGTTGCGGTGGCTTCCATGGGCTTCCTCCTGGGCGCCACACACTCCACCCGGCAAATGGCACTTCCGCTCCTCTTGGCATTCAGCGGTTTGATGCAGAGGAACATCCTCTTCTTGGGACTCCTTCGCAGGCTCTCCAGGCAGCTCTGCCGCAGGATTCTGCTCATCCGACTGACGGAGGCACTGCGTCGGCTGCTCCTCCGCTTCGCGTAGGTGATGGGAGCGGGTGTGGGATTGACTGGAGCTTGTGGCTGCAACTGGGGTACGGGTTGGGAGTGGGAGATGGGCTGCACTCGCACCTGGGGACGCACCATCGCCACTGGACGCAGCTTGGTCCGCTGCTCCTGCTGCTGGAGGACACTGTTGCCCATGTGCGAGGGACTCTGGCTTTGGCTCTGACTTTGGCTTTGGCCCTCCGCCTCATTGCTGTTCACCGCCTGCAGCGAGTGCCAGTTGATCAGCCAGTTGTTGCAGCTGAAGCAGAGGAACTTGTCCTCATTCAGAGGCTGTAAATAAAGGATGAAAATATAGATGAGTAAAGGAGTTCTAAGGAATGGTAATTACTTATATTAAAATCTAAGAAAGAACACTGATCTTTTTAATCTAGATTTCTTGACCGAACTAATTTTTAATTCTGGATACCAAATGGAAAACAATAAAAAGAGAACAGATAAAAATGAATGTATCAAAGTCAGTAACGAACTTTATTTATTATTTATTAGTTTTTCAAGTTCAAAATATTTTCTGATGGGTTATTGATTATAAGGCATTAACCTCCATGATCATTAGGAACCCGCAACTGCCTGGATAGGATATGTGACCCAAATTCGATGTCGTGACCTGCCATCGGAAGCCGAGCGCAACCACAGAATAAACCTCTCGAAAATGACGATACGCCTATGCACTTAGTGATCGCTCTCGAAGGCGACCACTAATGAGCATCGACAAAGGTGCAAAAAATAACATAACGATTCCGAAAACAACTGCCAGACGGAGCGGGCATATTAATTACCCGAACGGAGCTCAGCATTCCTCGGGTATCAATAATTTCGTGCACCTGCCGACAAAAACTAAGCGCCCAACTGCCAACGAACGACAGCAGCTGGCTTAAAAGGCACGAAAACCAGTCAAAAGGCAAAGGGACAATCGGTTCGGTTCGGGCCTCGAAGCAAACTCGTTTTGGCCAAGGGCCACGCGCCCTATTCAAACGAAGTGGAACCGAGGACTGAACTGGGTTAAAGCCCGAACTATGACGGATATTAGGCACGCGCATGCGCGACAGCTGCTCGGGGAATTAGATAAAGGTGATCGTGGAGTAGGGGGAAAGGATCGGAGAATATAGAAGGGAGGGGGAGGGGTAAGGGTAGCCAGGATCAGGAGCGATTGTGGCTGCCTGTTTACCTTTTCGGTTTTTTTTGCCTCGGCGCTGAAAAGGTGTGCTGCAAGAGCCATGTGTAAACGGTATAATAATGCAAATTGCAGGCCAGGTGCAAAGCAGACAGAAAGCCACACACACGCACACTGATCGGGGATACACTGAAGGAAATTAGAGTGCCCTCTAAAAATTTATAGGATAATAAATCATAAGACTAGAAAGGAACTCATAGGAGGAGAGAAGTGATATGCTTAGGAGTTAAACCATAAATAACATCTTTTGTATTGAAAATACATTTATTAGGGTATTTAAATTACTGTAGTCTAAACTATTCCTTTTTTCTTTCTGTGTAAAAGAGGGAGTTAGGGAGGCAGCCTGATAAATCGAATGCAAACGTAGTTTATGGCACTGTCATTGAGGGCGAGGGTGTAAGTTCCGTGGGGGTGATCGGTTGCCGGGCTACGATCGCGGCAGGTATATATGCACCCTATATGGTTTCGCAATAACGGTTCAAAGTAAATTCTAACGATCCTAGGGGAGTGAAAACAGGGGGTGACTATCGAGGGTCATTTGCGGTGGGGTAAACTCATGGTGAGGGGTTTTACTATAATGAAAGTGAATAGCGTGCCGCTGAAGAATTAAATTTCGTAATTAAATTGATTACTTTTCCAGCAATTACAGAAGTACTGAATAATAGCATTGTGAACAAATACATCTGCTTGGAAACAACATGAAATCGAAATTGATCTTATATCTAATAAGTATTGCTGTTGACAAGCTCTTCAAATTGTTTATGTTTTGATAAGGCTTCGTTTTGAATGGAGAACTCTTAGTAAGTAAGGGTCTGACCCATTTTTGTTTTCTAATCCAATAGAAAGGAAACCTTAGTACCAACTATCCACCAAAAAAAACAAACTAGCAGAAGTTAAATTTGAACTCATGAGTAGTTTTGTAGTTTCGGGCACTTCAAGGACTTCAGCTGGAAAATTCAAGGATTTCTAATACCTCATTCTGAGGGTAGATCGTTTGTTTGGATTTGTGCAACTTGGGAAACCGGAATTTGTGTCTTAAGGTTTTTGGCATTGTTCGAGGGTTCAAAGGAAATCTCTCGGCCTCGAGAACAATCAACTGTGAACTCCGAACCAGGTATTCAAATCCAATAGCTGATATGCGAAAAATAAAACTCACACACAACGCAGAGGAAGGTATGAAGAGTTGATAAAGCAGAGGAACCCTGATGGGTTGGATTTTGAGTGCCGAGTGGCAAATACAGCTGTCGTTTTGGGATATGGAAAAAGGAGAAAAAAATCAGGGAGAGGGTAAAGAAGAAGAGCAAGAAGAGTGTGTGTGTGAGTGTGTGTGTTGAAGGTTCGTTCACTGCCCGCAGAAATTGGAGCAATCTCGGAACCTCGGCAAATCCACCGCACATCTGCCTCTCCAGCAGGTTTTCTGCCCTCTGTGCTGTACAGGTAGTAAAGTCCCAGTGGAGTGTCTGTAATCCGAGACCCGAAACCCATTTCCCCAGTAAGCAAGCGCAGGATCTCCAGCCAGGATCGATTTCCCTGGCCATCTTCCGCTGTCGCATTTCCCACACACACACACAGACCGCATTCTATGCATATTAGAACAAGCTGTTGGAAATTATGGGAATCGCATCGAACTAAGTGGAATGACATGTGCAAAGTGTCCAATTACTCAAAGGAGTGCCAGGGAAAGGCATCAGCTGCTGTGGAACAGGATATGCAGTTCAAAGGGCACAGGAAAAGGTTATAAAAGAGAAGTTATACTATTTGGGGTTTATTAAGTGCTGATGTTGTAAAACTAATATATTGAATGGTTTTATCTATTACTTTATTTAATTAAAAACTCAAAAGTATTTAAGTATCAATTTGATTTAGGCATATATTCTTTTACAATAAGCTGAGAAAAACTATTATCTCCAACTGCTTTAACAAAACTTTATCTAATACTTTTTGTATCCAAAAGTCGGATGCTGTGCTCCATCTCTACATTTTACCTGCCTAAAAGCACCCACCACCCCCTTGTCCCACGAACAACACATACTTTTCCGCCCAGCGAAGTTCATCCCCTTTTAACCCAAATCACACACGGATACACGCGCAAGGGGAAAACTTTGGCCGAAGGACGTTGCTTCGCTCGCATGACTCATCTGCCGAGTTGCCCCAATATCGATTTTTTTTATATTCCACACCCCCGCCCCGCCTTTTTTATTCTTTTTTTTTTTTTGCGAGATTCAGACTTGGAAATCCTTACCTGAAATTTGAATTTCGCCTGGATTAGCTGGACGATATTGGGTCCGGATCGGGGCTCGTAGATATTGATCGTCTGGTTCGTGTGGCAGCCACAGATGAGGCAGGTGCGCTTCAGGTATTCCGAGGAGGCGGCGGATGCCACAACGGCGGCCGAAGGATTCGCCTGCTGCTGCTGATTATTCGCAGACATCCTGGCGATTTTTTCCCAGCCTCTGACGTCACCAAAGGTCGGGCAAACTGGCCGATTTTTTCGGGGGGCGACTTAACACTCGTATATTTACTTTTTGGGGTGGCGCGAAAATGTTGCAAACAACAAATGCGAAGCGGCAGACACACGCGAGTGAACGAGAGGCAGAGTGCGAACGATAGAGAGAGCGAGAGCGTGTGTGAGCGGGACAGCGAGCTACGGAGCGGCACGTCCTTCGCGTTGCACGCACGAATTTCGAATGAGCCTTGCTGGTCCTCCGGCTCTTTGCTCGCCTTTCAAAAGGCATGTGCGCGCTGCCGGTTTCGGGAATTAAAAACGAGACTCTCACTGGGTTGCCACACCAGTGAAAAAAATATCCACCAAGAATAAGGCAAGGGGATATAAATGTTTGATATTTAAAAAAGTTTTATTCGAAGATAAATGCTGAATAAAAATTAATGTTAAATATAGATATTTTTTTAATTTTAATTTTATTAATCGCACCTTTAATATTATGGATTATATAATATTTTATATGATGAAAGCATTATAGAATAAACAAATTTTATATAAAATCAACCAAAGGGTCAGTTGGCTTGCACTGAAAGAAATGGCACAAATAAGGGTGATAGTAAACCAACATATGTTCATATTTAAGGTCGCCAAAAGGGATGTTGAGTACCAGAATGACTAGACCAAATTTTAGTGCGAGGCAAATAAAACTACTAACCAAGTGATGAAAAATGTTTTAAATTTTCCTTACTTTTTTTTTAGCCCTAGAAACTATATTTCCCAATAAATGATTTATTTAATTAATTAATGACCCAGTAATGCATTCGCAAATATTGTGACAACCCGATAACGACTTGACCTATCTGAACTTTTGGCACTCAAGTTACCTCTTCTTCTCCAGCTCTTTAAATGCGTTTAAGCCCCTTCGGTTGAATCGGTGGCAGCTGCCATCGAGCGACAAACGCCGAATTTAATGTGGATAGCTTCCTCGACTGGTACTTATCGCTGTGGCTCAAGATGGGGCATACAGCATATACTCGTACGGGATATAGTGTGCAGCATGTGTGCATTGTGGGCTCATCAACAGGCTGCCAGCTCCCCGCTCCTCCGGTCCAAAAGATACTCCTCCAAAACACCGACAGCAACGGCAGCTGCTCCAAAATACAAAAGGTGCGTTTCGGTTTTTTGTTTTTCCCATTTTATTCGTTCAGCTCAATCATATGTTCTCCGTGTTGTAGCTCATTTTGAGCCGGTGTTGCAGCTTGCAACCGGATTTTTACTTGGCGACAGATGTTTCTCCTTTTTTTCCTTCGTCCAAACCTTCTTCGCTCGCTTTGCACCTCTTTTCAGATTGCAGACACTGGGTTAACTGGCGCTGCTGCCACTTTTTACTACGCATCTCCGGCGATAGTAAACAAAGGAGTAAGGCCCTCGTGATCGCAATCAAAACCCCTGATGAATGAAAATATGAATGGGATTTCGAGGTGGAGGAAAGGAGCGGGCAAAAATGTATCTGCAAGCGGAACTGAACCCTCGATTTGACCGATTTCCTCGCCATATGCGTAGCAAATTTCCATATTGATCAGAGTCCGGGAAAGGAAGTGCCCAAGGCGGGGGATTGTGAGCTTTAGCGATGGATAAGCAATCTGAAATGAGCAAGGTGCAATAAATCTGTATTGATTTTGAATATTAATATCTTAAGACTGATTTTAAGATTTTTGTTAATGTATTGAAAAACAAATATGTATTTAGAAGAATGCCACTGCTAAATCGGATTTAAATTTGAAAAGTAATGGACTTAAAACTAGTCAATTTTTAGGAAACTCATTTTTTGGAAATTTGGTAAGGGGTTGCATCATAAAATGGAAAAAAAACGGCTAAAAAATACAACAAATTCTAATGCTGCAGTTGATTATAGAATTGAAATACAAACATTTAGAAGTATGCCACTGCGAAATCGGATTGAAATTAGAAAAGGGATTTAGTGAATTTTGGTCCATCTGATTTTGGGTTTTTTAAATTGTTGGTCTTTTAAATTTATTTTTTTCTCAGTTCTACACGAGCGCCATCTATGAAAAATAAATTGCAAAGGTCACACAGTAACCGATAGAGAGCGTCTTGCAGTTACCTGAAATTGTTATAGATGGCGCAGCACAAGTATAAGATATGAATAAAGTATAAGGGTCTCGACGGTTAAAATTGTAATTTGAAGTCATTATTGACAATTTAAATATTTGTTTCGGCATTTACACATACCAAGTTTAATTTTTTTAAATCATAACAGAAAAAAAATAAATTTAAAGAAAGGAAAAAAAAACAATGAGAGTACATATTATAACAATAAATATTATAAAGTAAAAGTGAACTAATATAAAGGTAGCCTTTTTGGAATTGTCTTAAATTGGATATTACTTATTAAAAGCATAATAAACCTCTGTTTCCAATATTTAATTAATGTGATGTTTTTATTGCTTAGAGGTTTTTTAACCGACCTTTAACAGCTCTTAGTCTAAATACATATCATGTCATTGATTGTTTAAAGTCTTCACGGTTACACACCTCGTCATCTTGGAGTCCCGTGCGTGTGGCACTCTCGAAACGTGGATGAGTGGAACTCTTGACAAAAGATCCGTGGCCATGTCGTCACCCGCTGCCAAAGCACGAAAGTCCCGGCTTCTGGACAAGATTCTCACGGGCCACCAAGGCGATGGATGGCCTATATGTGTGTAAGTGTGTTTGTGTGTTATCCCGCTGCTGAGAAACCAAGTGGAAATTGCAATTCGCCAGGCACCTTGGGAGAATCGAGAATACAGCGCGAATCGACTCGAGATCGCGCCCCTTGGACCCCCCATACGCACGTGCGAAAGTCGGCTATAAAATAATTGACTTGACTTTGTAATTGCAAGAGGTGGAGGGGAGGGGACGAGAGAGGGGAGGGGGTTACAAATACATCCCACTGTGAGCAGTCGGCATGGGTCCTCGTGCGCCTCGTTTCTTGAAAGGCACCCAGAAAGGCGATGCGATTGGTGCCGGCCAGAATTCTCCAGGGGATGGAAGCGAAGCAACCCTCGGGGGAATAAGTTCCGCACTGATAGATGGCTTTGCTCGGATGGTCGGGGGTTTCTTGGGTGGCTGCTCTGTTCCACCTCATCTCAGGAACTTCCCTCTCTCTCTCCCTCCTCCTCTCTCGCTCTCGCCCATTCTCTTTGCGATTGCGCCTGGCGAATTCCATTTTGTTTTAAGAGCTTCTGTGTGTTTTGATGCCACTTTTTGGGCCAAACAGTTCAGTCAGTTGCCGACGCTCAAGGCGCAAGGATACTCGCTCCGTTTGCCAGGACTCCGCCAGTCGTCTAAATAGAAACCAAAACAAATCGCTTTGGCGCGAAACGGAAGCCGGAAGTTGTGGAGTATAGTAATAGAACTCGGAATCAGTGATTTAACCAGCCAACCTGGCCATGTCCCGACGCAAACAGGCCAAGCCGCGCGCCTGTCTCAAACGTAAGTTGGGGTGCCAGTCGGCGGTGGTCAGTGGTCAGTGGTCAATGGTCGCAGGACCCCAATCCCCAGTGGCCCTCCACTGACATGGTCTCCATTTCCATATCCTGAGTGTGTCCCAGTGTGTTACTGTGTGTTACTGTGTGTGCCTTAGTGACTGTGTGTGTGTGCATCTGATTGATTTGCTTTGATAAACCCCTGAAGGGGGTGGACACAACATTACTCTGCCAAACTTTGCTCGCGGGACCGCAAAATGTGACAAATGCAAATGGCCTCGGCCTGCGATGGCCGGCTGCTATTGGGCTACGGCCATCGCCTCCCCTCCACTTTTGGGGCACCACTCGCTTCAGCTCCCCAGCTCGACTCTCGACTCTCAGCCAGACCCGGACCCAAACTCAACTCAAACCCGATCCCAAAGCCGAACAGAACCGGCTGCAGCCCAGCAGCTTGCAGGCATTGGCCAATCCCCAGGGACCAACACACCTAACTGTCAGTGATAGAGAGCGACCAAAACGAGGGGAGAAACGAGGAGGAGGAGTGGGGGTTGGGGAGTGGGGAGAAGGCCAAAGTGGATGAGGGAACCTGGAGAGTGGGGATATGGGGAATACGGGGAATGGGGACAGGGACAGGGACAGGTGTACTGGGGCCAGGAGACCCCCGAAACCCAAACAAACCCCAGCATGAGGTTGAAACATTGAGTGTTCTGGTGAACCAACAAGTAAATGGACAACAACATGGCCAACACGGCGAATGAGCTATACGCTTTCTCAAACAATTTCATTAAATCATATACATATTATATAATTCTCCAGAAATCAGTGTTCACTGTTATGTTCAATTATTTATTTGAATTAAAAACCAAATATAAATACAAGTATTTTTGTATAATCTTCAAACAAAAAGTAATCATTTTTGAATTACCATCTTTCTCAATTGGATTGGATAGTATTATATTTATTCTTGTTGTAATACAACTTAAGCCGTAGTAAATTCAAAGTTATAGAATCTTCCTTTTTTTATTCAGTTAAACGAAGAAAGAGTATTTCAAGCTTTTTGCAAAATATGTAAGAGATATTAATATAACATGTTTTAACTATTCCCTTAGAAGGGCAAAAAAGCGGTTTGGCCAGAACTGCGTTTACATTTTGGATATGTTTTTTTTGGATTCGAGTGCAGTTTCAGTTTTGGGTTTTCCGAAACGGATTCGGTTCCATTTTCCGTTCTGCGGCGTTCAGACGAAGCCAAGGCAACCAAAGTGCCGTTAATTTTTAATACAATTTCAAATTGTGTCAGTGTAAATAACAGGCAGAGGAGCGGAGAAGCAGCGGTGGCAGCAACAACAATGATAACAAATAAAATTGACAATAAATCCAATGCACACATGTGCATGTGGTGTTCGGGGGTGGGGAGAAGTGGGTGGTGGGATGGGTGGCTGGGTGGCCAGCTGAGGGGATCTGAAGCCCCCAAGGACAACTGGCGCACACACAAATTTACACACACAAACACACATACAGTTACATGGACACACTTACACAGAGACAGAGAGAGATATCCTCATGCTGGGGCATGAAAATTTCCCCAACGTATAAAAAAGCGAACTTTGGCTTGCTCTTTTTCGTGCCCTCTCTGTCGCACCAATGCGATTCAGCGAGGGGCGCGCGAAAAAAGCACAAAACACAGAAAACCCATTGCCATGTATTTCTCAGGGGAGTCGGCAGCGGCTCTCTGGCCAATCCCCAAGAGAAAAGCGACGGGCAACGAGGCAACAGCAGCAACAACAACAGTAGCAACAACAACAGCAGCAGCAGCAACAACAGTAGCAACAACAGCAGCAACATCCAGCGGCAACAGCAGCAACAAACATGCGCCATTTCCCTGGGGAGTTTTCATTTGTTGACGGCGTTGCCAGCCAGTTTGCATGTACATATCTCTAGGTATAGTCGCATATATATACATATATATATGTATGTATGTTTGTATGTATGTGGAGCATATAGGTAGCGCAATCACAATCATATGCGCAGCTATTTTTATTGACAACCCTCAAGAACCCACACAATGGCTAATGGGCTGTCATCTTTCCAAAAAAAAATAAAAGTCATGAAAATATACATTTTCTGCTTTGATTTGCCCCAAACTATTTGGACACCTTTTCGCATTAAACAGTGAATGTCATAAGTTGCTGACCTTGAACAACAAAAAATTATACAAGGAATGTAAAAACAGAAAAAGAAAGAATTAGTAGGATAGGTAAACTGTAAGCAAAGATTTACCTACATTACTCTTTTAGGTTTATCTTGGTAATAACTTTTACCTCTTAGCCATTTCCTATTAAGCCTTATATTGATCAGCTTTTATTTCAAGAACTTGCATTGATTAACCAAATAAATATCACCAGTTCTCAATTATATTTCGTTGAACGGTTTGTGCATATTTTTAGCAGACACTGTCTGCCGTAAAATGCTTTAAAATGCCGGCTTCTGCTGGGGAATTCCCAAAGCTGGGCGAAAGGCTTAGGATTCCAGCTGCCATAAGTTGTCGTTGCCTTCTGGCTCCTTTCGCCACCCCTTCCCCCACCCCTTCTCTCCCCATTTCTATCCCCTCTGCTATCCTTTTTACCCCTCCGTTTCACCTCATCGTCAACGTGAGCGCGAGTCCTTGGTGTATTGGCAAAATATTTGCCATTGCACGGCAAAATCGCGCCAAAAATAGCAATAGCAACAGCCAAAGCAGCAGGATTCGGGGCGGAATAAGGATCTCAGGATCAGGATCCAGGAGCTGGAGAGCTGGAGGACTGGAGAGCAGCAGTGGGAATCCGCTTGGGGCATAGGCCACCATGTGATGTGCAATGGCTTCTGCCGGCACATAATGTGCGATATTGGCTGCGTCTAACGGTAACTAGTTTGGTAAATAGAATTTGCTCCAGGCGATGGCAATGAGTGGGTGGTTGGTTGGGTGGTTCGGTGGTTGGGTGGCTAGATAGTGGGTGGTTCGAGGGTCGTGAGGCGTCTGGGGGATTTGCCAGGCGGCAACAACACTGCAAACGACATCAGTGGCACTCGTGGTGGTGGTGGTGGCATTCTGACAGCTCTGCGGATTCCTTAACACTCACACATGAGCGGCAGCAGTAGTTTGTTTCCAGCTTAAAGGTTCTTCTTGGGGAGCGAAAGTCACTACTGTAAAAATTAGCAAAACAAAAGGGGTGGCTCATAAATAAATTAGCTAGTTATAATTTAAGATAAGGTTTATGATAGAGGTTCATTTAACTTGATGAAAAGTAAAGGGTCTAAAGGATATAACTTACATAATTATTATAATTGTCTTTAAAAAGATTCGCAAGGAAAATCACTTTCATAAAGTTTACTTCAGTTTATTGATTAACCATTTTTTTATAGGTTTATCTGCAATCATAATAATCTTCAAAACAATATACAATTTTAAGTTAAAGCTCACCACCTTTAGTGATTACCTGAACTGTTTTCAGCAACGCCAAACGATCTCTTTGGCCATGTTTCCTCGGGTGGCAGCTTCTGACATTTATCTCTTGTTCCTGCAACTATTGATAAAATTTATTGTTGGCGCTTTTAACAACACCTTCGGGTTTGTTATTTCATTATTTTTTTAATACCACACACACACCCACACACTCTGGTTCGAGCCATTATAAAAGTTGCAAGCGCGCTTTGTTTTGGCCAACACCCCATGCCCCGTGCCCCACCCTCTGCCATCCCAATCCCAACCCCCAATGCTCCCGATCCCCACCCACAGCTGCTCACTGGTGCCCTCTACACACGCTTAGTAGCCGTTTGGGAGCTGGAAAAGTGGCAAGCGTTGGGGCATTTGGCGGGAAAGGCGGGAAATGGCAGTGGCAACGGATTGATGGGTCAAAGGGGACGACGCTTATTATTACGTTTACAAATAAGTGTGCATCTGTGTGAGTGTGTGTGTGTGTGTGTGCACCTTTTTGTTGGTGGTGCTGCTGGTAAGGGGAAAGGGGGAGTGGGGGAATGGGGGGCGTGGATGTTTGAGTAAAACGCTTAAAAACATGCCATTGCCGAAAAACAAGTAAGAAACACTCACACATGCGGGCCCCCAATCGCACACACACTCTCACACACACACACCACTTATTCCCCCACACTCAGACACCAACACAAGGAGAAGGAGGAGGGGTGGGGGGAGGTTGGAGGGGAGGGGGAGAGATGGCAACCCAGCGACCGAGTGCGAAATGCACTCTGGGGGGCTTTAAACAAAAATGAAAATCGCTTGCATACATATGGGCGCTTACACACACACAGCAGCGAGCTCAACGCACACACACACATGCAGAGGGAGAAAAGTTTTTGTTTTCAATTTAATTTGCTGGTTAAAAAATATTGCAAAAATTAAGAAAGCATAAATCGCTTATAATAATAATTACTTTCCTCATTTAATATTATATTATTTTCGTAAAAAATATGTTTAAATTGTTTTTAAAATAGGAAATTGGTATTATATTATATACATTTCAATTTGCGTTGGGTCATAATGTTATTTAAATTTAACACAACATCAAAGTTACAATTACTCAACAAATTTTTCATTTCTCAAAGACTTGGTATCTTTTTATTTTTTTTTAATTTGTGACTTTATAAAAGAAACTCTGTATTTATTTGTGTCAGTGTACCCATATCCTTTTTGGCTTGCACAAAAAGAACTTGACTTGCTGCTTGCGTTGTTGCTGCCACTGTTGTTGTTGCGGTGCTTCGACAATTTTAACGACCATAACTGGTTCTCACCCTGTTCGCTTCACCCGCCCACCGCCCGCCACCCACCGCCCCTTCGCCGCCGCCACGCGCATTTATTTTAAAATACGCGGCACTTCCGCCGCAAACGGCACACAGTTGCCCCACAGTCCCGCCGCCCCACCCACTTTTCCATGCAGCACCCAAACCCACCGAACATCCGCACCACCCCGCCTCCAAGTGGCTGCCGCATTCGACTCCTTTATATGGAAATAATAACCAAATGTTCTTGCCCCACCAACCCACCGATCCACCGCCTTGCCACCTCCCCTTTTGGTGACCATACCCATGCATAATGTTCATTTCCATGGCGATTCCTTGCGGTGTGATTCCGGCTTGTCCTTTCGGCCATATATTTTAAGTCCTTACCTTCCTCGCGGTCACCAATACGAAATGGTCACGCGCTGCCTCCAGACTCCTGGCTTCGAAAAATGGCTCCTTCCATTCGGAATTGGGGGAATGTGGGGGATGTTGTAACTGCGAGGTGACTTTCTTCTTGACCAACAAAATCATTCGCTATCATCTTTGAATAAGAAATATATTAAAAAATATTTGTAGACTACTGAATCTTAATTAATTATTAGGTTAACAAAAGTAAATCAGTCAATAAAAAATTATCTATTTCAAAATTGTTTTATACTTTAGTTTTTTTGCAATTAATGCTGTTAAATTAGTTAAAACCCAGTTTAATTAGTTTCTTGCAAAGTTTCTTTAAAGTTTGACATAAAACTTTACCCAGCCTATCCAGTAAATAATACCCTCACCTGTGGCTGCCCCAGTTATCCAGACTCCTGGCTCCTCTACTCCAAAAAACATTCGTCTTGCCCACTCTCGGCCATCACAGGCAGCTGGAGAAATGTATGAAAAATTCAATTTAATTGCGCAATTACACATGTTACACATTTCCATTTGCCGGAGTTGTTCTTCTGGCAGTTGTTCTTCCCGCTTCCGTTGTTGTTGCACCCTTGCAATTACTTTCGAGGCAGAGAACTCGGTTTGCTCTTCTGCTTTTTTTTTTTTTTTTTGGAGGGGGGCTAAAACGACACCCAAAAGGCGCCGGGCAGAGGCCATCGATCAGGTGGCGGCTTTGCCGGAATAGCCATCCAAGGAGTCTGAGTTTTGAGCTATTGGCAAGGTAAGGGGAACAATAAAACACGGAGCGTGTAAATAGAATTTTTGGCCCGATGGCCGCCCGGGGAGTGCTTTGGCATAATCTGCATGAGCCCGAAAGCATAGCACCCGATGTCTACTCCAACTTCCGACAGGTAGCAATTTGTGCGAGTGTTCGAAGTGTTATCAATTGATTAGCTTCAATTTAAATGGGAGCTGAGAAAATAATTTATCAAATTACTCAAAAATATCTTCGTAAAACTACAACAATACTTCCGAGGCCTATAAGTATGCCTAAAAATATTTAACCGCAATTGGAATTACCGAAAGCCAACAAGAAGTGTTTTTGTTGCATACTTTTGGTCTCCTGTAATAATTGTTGAAAGAACTCAACAACTACTACTTTTGGTAATCGAATAAGGGGACACATTTCTCATTATATATACGCATTTATTTTTGCAGTTGGCGAGAAGGAGGACGAGGAGAACACTGGGCTGCTGGAGCCCAAAGAGGAGCTGCTCAGCGGCGACGAGGACAACGAGGATAATGAGGACGAGGACGAGGAGCTGGCCGATGGAGAGTCGGCCGAGGGAGGGGAGCAGCAGCCCCATCCCCAGCCCCAGCTCGAGCCCAATGAATCACAGCAACAAAGCTGGCCAACAGCTGATGAGCCAGCGGTCCCAGCTGCAGTGGCAAAAGAAGAAGAAGACGGACCAGAAGAACTACAACACCCACGGGATGGGGTAGTTGCATCTGATGCTGCTGCTGCTGCTGCTTCTGCTTCTGGTGGTGGTGCTTCTGGTGATGCTGCTGCCAATGCCAACGGACACTGCAAGTCCTCTGGTAAGTTTGACTTCAATTTGCATATTTTATTGCCTCTAGCCAAAAGATATATCTGTGTATATATCTGGCGTACAAGCACACCGATATACCGGCGCATATCCGTATATCCGAATGTAAACTAACCATCTTCTACTCAAGTCCATCGACGTCGTCTTGGGCTTCTCCCCCGGGTCGTTCACATGTCCGGCTAATAACTCTCGACAGTCTCATAAATAGCAAATGTAAGGTTTTTGCTCTCGCCTGTTGTTGTGTCCTGTGGCATGGAGTTGACCCATCCAAGGCACACATCCGCATCCTGTGGCTCCCCTGGCCACTGGACACGTGAGTCCTCGGCCCTCAGGTTTCGGTTTGGTCTATTTTGGTGTCTTCACGGTGACGGTTTAAAAGTGTGGAATGCTCTTGTAAATTGGATAAGGTTAATCACATTGAAAGAGGCAAACAGGGTGCTTCTGGGTAATTGGGAATAATTGGAAAATGAGAATTGCTTCTACATAGATTGAACATTAAAAGCTTAAGTATTATAGTAAAACAGTTAAGCTATGTTTCGTATTTGAGAATTGATTTACTATTACAAACAATTTTATATTATTCGCTAGTAATTTCCAAAAAATCTTTAACTGTTTTACAAAAACAGTATTCTAAAAAATCTGAAAAATGTTTCTTAGAATTGGTTAAGGATATTTTCCAATCTGCGCTAAAAAGTAGGCAACATATACAACAAGCCAGGGTTCAATGCATTACAGACCCTGTATATCTGGATTATCCCCATTGGAGCCGCTGCCTGGTCACATCAACTTTGATGTGTCCATGAGGCCCCATACACACACACGCACACACATCTGTATCGCAGTATGCTCCACTGAGTGTGTGTGTGTGTGTGCCCCATGTATTCGGTATTCCTGTGCGTCATTGGATTATGGCACTTGGGTGTAAAGCCATCGATTCCAATGACCAAAGCGCTGGCTGGCCGTTATGGTCGCTGCTGTCTGACAATAATAAAACAAGCTTCATGTTTTAAATGGAACGTAAACACACATGCCTCTGTATTGGTAATACCCACACATACGCTGCTCCAAGCACACACACACACACACCGATACGTGTCTGTTCATTATTTGTTGCTCTTTTCTGTGTGTGTGTTTCTGGCCAGGCCGGGTGGCCAATTCCCGCGGGTCAAGACGACGGCATGGAGAACATCATCATCAACTAGAACCTAGTCGGGTGCCCTGCGCCACCCCCTATATACAGTCAAACTTCTCTTAATCGAACCGTTGGTTTCGTAAACAACTTAAAAACTGATTTGGATTTATTTAGAAGACTTCAATAGATTTCCCCTATTGCAAACTTTGGACTAAAACTTGAACCCCCTCCGCAAGGGTATAAAAATCATTTGAACATGTATGCCTTCTAAGCTTTTGCTGAATATTTCCATTTCCTTTAAAAGCTTGTGCAATTTATGGGAATAAAAAAAGCATCGTTTGCAAACAATTAAAAACTCCCCTAGAAAAAACAAATTTTAATTCTTGTTGACCAAGTTCGAGTTATTAAAGTTGGACTGTATTTGGCATGCCAATTCGATTGGGAAGGTCTGGGTGCCCTGGATTATTGTTGCCGGCTACCTGGGAGCTCCAGCCTCCCCTCTCTGTATGTGTGTGTGCTTTAGAGTCTGTGTGTGTGTGTGAGGCTTTAACCTCACTGCGAACTCTTCGGGACTAACGGCACTACGGAGGACCAAACTTTATCACCACTGCGCGCCTGCACTCTCTGTCCCTTTCGCTCGCACGCGCATATTATATGACAAGTACACGCTGCTGCACTGCGTCCGTTTACTGCTGCTGTTGCTGCTTTTTCAGCTTTTGGAGCTTGCGGAGCTGGTGGAGCTTGTATAGGTCTCGGCGCTCGTGGAGCTCCGCTCGTCCTGCGAGGCCCTCTGGTGGGTTGTATAATGTTCTAAGGGGAAATCGAGAGGCTGTGATAAGTTTGGGGATCCGAAAATTGTCTTTCTGCTCCGTGCTGTTGCCGGCGCTCTTGCGCTGCCAGCGGGAAACCCGGCGAGAATGAATTGGCCCTTTTGTGCGCATCACCAGCACCACGGTGGCCCAACTTGAGGGTCTCCAAACAGTGGGGCTAAGTCGAAACAAAGTAGGTTAGTGGTGGGACATAAATCAAGAAAATAGTAGTAGGCAATCAAATGGCAAAAGGAAGTGTTAGCAAAAATATTTTATTTACTTCAACAGTATGTATATCAAATATTTTAGAGTTTAAAATAATATATAATAATATTTAAAATATATTTCCTGCATATAATATTGTTTTCGTAGATAAAAATAAGTTTATCTATTCGAGACAAGGTTAATTTAATATATTTATGGTTAATTACTCACTCTAAACTTTTGTAAAACCGCTTGCTTAAGCCCTAATTAATCTCCCACTTATCATACAACTTTCCAACATACACCCACACCACTGTTCTCCCGCTAAATTGTCACACGCACACCATTGCACTCTCACCCACTGCCACACACACACACTCAAACCCACACACGTGTGCCCCCTTCTCGCTCACTCGCTAGATTCTAATATGAATTCAGCTGCTTATAGATTATATTTGTGTAAAGTTTTATGTTGCAATATTTTCGGTTGACGGCGGTTGCACGGGGAGAAAGTGGAATTCGCTGGGAGCGAAGGAGGAGCCTCGACGACGACGACATTTCCTTTGGGAGCAACCTTGGTGCGAATAAAAATTATACATTGCCATATAAGCGGGCGAGACGAAGTACAGTAGACAACAAAGAGATGGGACGCCGGCTCCCCGAAGGATCCAAGGTGTCTCTGTCTCTCTCCCACATCCACTCGTGTGTCTGTATGTGTGTGTGGGTTTGTGTCTGTGTGAGTGTGTGTGTGAGCCTAACTTTTGCCAGCGTGTTTATTGGTATGTTCATTGGGGAGCATCTTGAGACCGAAGGGGAAGGCGGGCGACAGCTTCTTGTTGCATAGCGAAGTTGCTCATTTTGCCATTATTATTCCACTGTGTATTGAAAAATGAAACAAAAGTGAGTTATCGTCTCCGTCGCTTTGACTCTTTCACCCGACTCCTCCTTCTAATCCTTCTAGTTCAGAGACACACATATGAAAGGTGGCCAAAAAATAAGTAGCTGTGCAATAAACATTAAAATCTCCTATGATTAAAACTGCATATCAAATAAGAATTTATATAAGTTCTAAAATTTCAAAGATAAAATGGAGTTGCTTTTTTTTCTCAGTATTAAATTTCTCAGATTTTATTTAAAATTTGATGAGAAAACTTCGTTTGCCTACCGTGGCTTTGATTACAAAGCCCAGGGAGCTCTGTACTTATTATCGATTGCGGTAGTGCTGATCGATAAATTTACAAATTGCAGACATGGCGATGTTGATGACGATGACCATGACCAATTCGGTCCAATTCCCCGTGCATACATAATTCATTTATCACTTCATAATTGCATCAGAGACATATTCGAGTCCCACTTTCCCGTAGGTACTTCTCCCTGCACCACCCGCCTGCCCATCTCCCCCCGCCCCCTCGCCTCGCCCACCGATCCCCCCGCCACTTCTGTTCGATTACATGCACGTCGACGGCTGCCTTTATTATTTCGCCTTTTTTGCAATAATTTTCAAACAGAAACACACAAAAAGCATTTGCGCAACAATTCCCCAAGGAAATGGCGACGACGATGGCAACGGAGCCAAGGCAAAGGAGCGCTGGCTCTTGCCAAGGAAAAGGGGGAGTGGTGCAGAGTGGAGTGGAGGGGTTTTGGGATCGGAATGGGGATTGGGATTGGGAGTCCGTGGAGTGGAGGGAGCAAGCGAATCGAATTAAGAGCCACCACACGGTAGGTGGTCCCACTTCGCAGTGGAGCAGAGCGGAGCGCCCGCTTCAGTCTTTCTCCCGTGGGATTGGCGCAGTCCGAGTTGAGTTGGACTCCCATCTCCCACTCTCCGTACTCCTTCCCCCTTTTGTCCCATTCCTTTGTCCCACCACGGCGATGTTGCTGCTGTTGTTGTTGATGTTGACAGTGGTGGCGGGAGTTCGCCCGAGGGGTTCGCCATAAAGTAACGACACTCAAATAAATTTGATTGGACTAACGGAGGACCACAAATCACGGGTTGGGAATTATAAGCAGAACGTTACTGTTGTATCTTGCTATGCAGAAACCAAATACTAAATATAAGTATTTGGGTGAGTTTGGGTAATGTAAAATATGTAAAATATGAACAGTTGAGAATTATAAGCTCACCTGAAAATCTTTTAAGGTTTTTAATTAATCAATTGAAATAATTATAAAAATTGTAGAAATTTTGAGGCCACATTATACCATTAAGCACCCCCTTCCCTGGGGAGATCCCCCAACTACGCCACTGATATTACGGTACTCTTCTGGACTTTGTCCGCTCATTTCGCTGCTCTTGTTGTTGTTATTCTCGTAGGCGGCGGCGCTTTGGGAAATCTGAGCGAGTGCAACTTGCAGCGGCCTGCAGCGCTCCCAAAGTGCCCCACTGCATATGTGTGTGATTGTGTGTGCAAGGGGGCGGGCCAGAGTGGGTGGGCGTGACCGAACAACTTCACAATAATCAGCAGCTGCACCACAAAGCCCCGAAAGTCGTAAAAATGGCCGCAAGATGACGCTAGTCGGATATGCAAATTTCGTTCGATTTATGGTCGCCACACTCACACACATAAAGAGATATCCTGCCACACACACATACTCGCACACACTCAAACACGGATAGCTGGTTCATTAACATGATTCGCGAAAGATGCGAGAGAGTCATAAAATTAGCCAGGCAGCAGCAGTCGATGGCTGCCGCTGATGATGATGATGAATGCATTGCAGAACCTTTTCGTCTCCTCTCTCTATCTCTCTTTTTCGGGATCCCCTGCGCTGCCACACCCCCTAACCCCCGCCCCCTGTCCCCTATACCGCCTCCATTGGGGTAGTGTCGAAAAATTTGCAAAACTCAAAGCAACAATTCGACGAAAGCCAATTTTGCGTCATACGAAGTCGAAAAAGCAGAGCAGCGACCGGAGATGCATATGTGTGTCTGCTTGTGTGTGTGTGTGTGTAGCGAAAGGCGGCGGGGGCGTGGCATATGACTCCCCACAGAGCGAGTGTTGAATAATCATCGGGCATCATCAGAGAGACGGCGATACAGCGGGAAAAGGAAGTGGGAGTTGGAGCAAGGGAGTCGCGTCAAAGTCATCATCATTCCTACAAAAACTTTTCACTTTTAAAAAGAAAGATCAAAAACTATTTAAAATATCATAGAAGTAGTTAAAAAGTTACAAAAAAAAACTATTTTAGCAACTCATATATATTCCATATAATAAATGGTGGTCAGTTTCTATCATAAACTAGTTCAAATAAAACACACATATATGTTTTCAATTTATTTTTAACCACAGTCGAATAACTTCAAATAAAACACATAAAGAAATTTCCGATTTATTTTTAACCCCAGTAGAAAAAAAACCCTAGACTTACTAAGAATTTCTCGTAGTGTACGTGGAGAAATCAACCAGGCGCGAGATGCGTTTTTGGCATGTTAAAAACTTGTCCCGTGCTGTTGCTCCCGGTCCAAGGTCCGTCCGCCAGATGGAGCCAGTCAACCAGTCAGCCAGCCAGCACGTGCAACTCTCACACCATTACACACTCTGCCCTCAACACTATTGCACACACAAGCAAGCAAACACACACACACACACAGAGACTCGCAGAGAGAAATTCGTAAAATTTTGTTTCCGCTGATGAAGTATTCCCCAGCTGCAGGACAAGGATTATTGGACGTGTGGCGGTCCAGCCGAGCTTCACTGGTAGCTTAGAGTCCTGCCACGCCCCCTTTTTCGCCACCACCTAAACCACCCACCTCTCACACATTCCGTGTGCTTTATGTGTGTGCCGGCATGCAAAGTGGCATAAAAGCAGATCCACAGCCACAGAACCACATCATCCAAACGTCGCCGAAACGACGAGCCATCAAGGAAATTCTCAAGCGCTTAGAATGTTGCAGGACCTCTCGCCACAGTCTCTCCTCCTCCCCCTCTCTATCCCCCTCCCTCTCACTATCATCATCTATCTATCTTTTTTCGCGGCACTACAGTGCCCACGAAATTTCATTTTGTCATTAGAAACTAGTAAAAGCCAAAAACGCGAAAGTAGCTGGAGCAGTGAAAGCCTGATGGTCGATGGCTTGATGAGTTCATGTCGAAGGGTTTCGCATCTGTTGGGGTTTTACGATGGCGGCGAAAGATTGGAATGTGGAGGTGTAGTGGAAAGTGGGGGAAGGGGGATCACTGTCAATCTGATTTTGGGTCGGTGATAACTAGTTTATAGGCAAAGATGTTGGGGGTTTAACTAAAAGGATTTTAATTGGGGGTTTCTATTGACATTGAAAAAATTTAAGATAGACAATCGAAGACTCCTAGAAACGAATATATTTCTATATAAATATCTATCAGTATCTAATCGCTATTTGTTCTATTACCCCTCACCACTTCGAACAACTAATGTCTTGACATTTCACATATCCTTTTCATATCTACCAATACACCGATGCCCACTGTCCTTCAGGTAGCGCAACCCCATTAGCATATCCCTCAGGAACCGCTTCTTGGTTTAGTTGGCAAGACCCAAGTCAGGAATTCACTCACGTGAGACATTGGCCGCCCAACTACCCACCGAGAGGCACGTCAAACGTTGCGTATGAGTAATGCCAAGTTGTGCGGCACTGTAGACAAACTTTGCTCCCTGCTCCCCAATTAAACCCCTGCTGTCCAGAAGCTGCGGAGCACGTGCTGCTGCCAACAGCTGTTCCTTGGCGTTGAGAGACCAAAACAAGGAGCTCTCTTGGCCAGGACATCCGCTCTTCCAGTTGCTCTTAGCCAGGACATGCGCAGTTCTCAAGAGCTGCTCTTTCCTTCTCTTAACTCTCAGGGATTGGGGGATTTGGCAGAGGTGGGAGAGAAAGTAGTACATCGGGGTCTTACTTGCTGGGGGGTATGGAATTATGGGACCCTGGGGCTTAGCATAATCAAAATTCCTTGCACTTGGGGATCCGGAAAGGGCATCCTGCCGCTCCATCCCCCCAAAGCTATTTCCATCCAAGACGTCGAGGTCAAGTCCCAGCTGCATTTGCTCCTTGCAATCGAGGCTAAAATAAGCTCTTCCTTTTCTCGCTGCAGGCCAAGACGATGCGGATGCGGATGCGGATCCCGAGGCGGAGGCGGAAGTGGAGGAGCCTGAACCAGAGGATTTGGATCTGGATGAGGAGCTGCTCAGTCTCAGCGGGGACGAGGACTACGACGACGAGGAGCTGCAGAGCCTGGACAGCTTCTACTCAGGTGAGAGACACATTCGGCTGTGCGGCTGTGGTACTCCCACTTTTCAAACAGATCCTAACCAACAATAAACACAGCATGCGTGCTGGTGTCATAACCATTGAAATTGCCGTTGAGGGTGTTATCCTGCCGGCGGAGATGGCACTCCAGGGTGCTCTACACCTGTGCCGCGGGTGTCGTTTCCATATGCTGCGGTCCTGTGGCTGCCGGGCAGCCTAACTACGTTTTAAAAACCCCAAACAGCAATCAACACCAAGCAGAGGAAGTCGGGACAAGAGTATCCTACTCCCATTTCTGTTTGGTATCCCCTTTTCCCCCCTTTTCCCCTCTCTCGTTTCCTCACGCATCCTGGCTGGCATTTACGAGCTGTCGAATCGACTGAGGGACAGAGACGGAGATCCCAGAAACGGAGACCCGACAGCATCATGAGCTACGGCCACGACATGACCTCTCCTCCTCCTCCCACTCCTCCCTCTCCTCATTCCCTCCTCCTTCTCCTCCTCAAAAGCAACCAACCATCCTACCAAACTCCCATCTTTTCCCACTCTTGGCCACATTTCTCTCTAGTGCCATTTCGAATGCTTTTTCTGTGTTATTTGTTTCGTTTTGCGGCGACGGCTGACTCGCTTCCCTGGCTGCTATTTTTTCACAGCTTCCTTCTTGTGCTCTTTGTTTTTGTTTTTGTTCCTTTCCCCTCCCCCCTCCCCCCGAATAACGACGTCCTTGCCGGCGGCAGCATCCTGAAACGGGCTGCCCATTTGCCGCCCCCTTTCATTCATTCATTCATGCACACAACTCAGACTTCACTTCACTCGACTCTACTCCTTTCCCCCGCCCTCGAAACGGACTTTGCCCGGCTGCTAACTTGTCTGGGTTATCCTTTCAAAACACTTAAAGAAACTACTACCAGAAGAACCAATAATGGTAAAATTTAAATATATAAATTTAAAAAATGTAATATATAAAAAATCAGACATTAAAAGGTACCATGAATTCCGAATCAAGCAGCGCTGCCGACACACGTCAAAATAGCTACTTAACTGGAATTTAAAAATATTTTATTTTACAAAACTGCAAGAAGGCTCTTGATGAGATTCGGTGGTGCCGTGGACAGAAAAACCAAAAGCAAAGCAAGAGGATCTCAAATTTTTCTTTTGCGCACTCTTCGTGTGCTAATTGGACTTTGTCTAGTGCAGACGTACAACTACAAATACTCATCTGTAGACGGTCACCATTCACTCCGCGCGCTGCCGCGCAAGAGGGGTAATGGATGGAAATCTTCATTCTAACTCTCAACCTAGCGGTAAGCAGTTTGATTATAAAAAAATGTTCCAAATAGCTGGTAAAACACCTTCGGAGATAAGGGAAGAGATCATCAGTTTACAACGCCCACTGTGCTCAAAATCTGCGAGCACTAGTACTATAACCTCAATGCTGGCTACAGCATCAGATGCGGAAATCAGCAGTGTTTGCTCTTCCGCGAGTATGGATAAAACTAATGTTTATTACTCCCAACGCTCATCTGGTAATTCATCCCCATTACCCAGAGGTGGGGCTGCAATTGTCTCTCCAACTCTTGGTGATAATTCAAAAATTTCTTCAACTCCGTTTTCTGATGCTGCTACCAAGTTGAAGCTAAGCCAAAGCCATCTGTCGTACAAGAGGAAGAAGCAACTTTCATATACTCCTTACCCTAAGAAGGTGCACAAAGAAAAGTTATCTGGATCACCCTCAGCATCAACCAGCAAGGCAAGCTCTAGTAATAGGTTTGCCTTACTAGACATGGAGGTGGACCTAGACAGTGACAGACCTGTTGAGGAAAGAAGTAATCTTTCCTTGGCAGATGCCCAAACAGATTTAAATGATGATATGGAAACAATTGTCTCAGATAATGAATTTGAACAAAATAATTCTAATGGCAAGAATAATCCCAACAATAATTTAAAACCACCACAAATTGTTCTAAGTTTTGTCAACCTTAACGATCTATTTGATGTTATTTCGGGGATCACTAGTCTAGATAACGTTATCGTTAAAGTAAATCAGGGATCTACAGCAAGAATATTTTCCAAGGACTCTAAAACTTATAGAGACATTGTTGATCATTTTGATGAAATGGAAATTGAATTCCATACGTACCAAATGAAGGAAGATAAACCACACAGAATAGTAGTTAAAGGGCTTCATCATAGCACATTAACTAGCGAAATTGTTGCCAATTTTAAAACCTTAGGTTTTGAAGCTCTTCAGGTGCATAACCCAAGATCTAGGTCTGACCCAGATGAGAAACTCAACATATTTTTTATCAATATTAAGCCATGTGCTAAAATTAATGCCATATATGATATAGTAACTCTTTGCCGCCAACGAGTGCGAATAGAAAGGATGCGTAAAAGATCTGAAATAGCTCAATGTATTCGTTGCCAAGAATTTGGACATACAGCGAAGTACTGCCGCCGGCATCCTAATTGTGCTCGCTGTGGAGAAGATCACCATACAAAGCAATGTGTTCGTCCCCAAGATCAACCGCCTACATGTATGCACTGTAGAGGGAATCATACAGCAAGCTACAAGGGTTGCCAATCTTATCAAGAATACCTTAGGCGATCGATGAGTTCAAAAAAACAATCAACGCGACAACATCCACAACAAAAACGTCAGCAACAACAGCCAATCCGAGAGCAGCAATCTCAGCAAATGCCTAACTCTTCTGCCAGCAATAATATAGGCTTATCTTATGCCTCTATTGTAAGAAATGGAATTGGTCATGCCCAGCGCCGTCTACATGATCTCCAAGCGCAGCCGCAAGTACAAAATTCGAAGAATACTCAACAACAACAATATGTGCTTGACGTTCAGTCTATATTGGAGCAACAGCAACAGCAATTTATGAAATGGCAACAACAACTTCAGCAACAGCAGCAGCAGCAATTCTTTTTGTGGTTACAACAACAGCAGCAGGAACAACAAAAGCAAAACAAACAGAACAGCCTTCGACTTGAAAGACTTGAAAATATGGTTTTCGAAATGGCCAATTCTATTAAGCAGTGGACTGGGGGCAAATCAGTGCTTCACAACAACGTTTCAGCCTCAAAATGAATACACTCAAAATCCTTATCTGGAATGTCAATGGCATTTCAGGTAAAGCCAGAGAAGTGGAATTCTTTGCGCACAACAACAACATTGATATTATACTTTTAAGTGAAATTAGGCTCAATCGAGGTGAAGTTGTCAAAATTTTCGGATATTCCTTCTATCCAGCATATAAACCTTCACGACATAATCAAGGAATGGGTGGGGCGGCGGTATTGGTAAGAAGCTCTCTCAGTCATTTCCCACAACGTATTATAGAAACGAAAAGCATTCAATTGTCTTCCATTAAAGTTGCGACCGGCTTAGGACTCGTGGATGTAAGCGCAATATACTGTCCTCCAGGCCAAAGAATTGTAGAAAGACATTTCACTGATATACTCTCTTCTTGTGGTCAGAGGTACATAGTTGGTGGTGACTGGAATGCTAGACATTGGATGTGGGGTGACACCTACAATTCACCCAGAGGCCGTGAGCTGGTTGAATCGATTTCAGCCAGAGGGTCCAAAATACTTGCCACTGGTTCACCAACGAGATACCCATATGTTCCTAGCCACACTGCTACTTGCATCGATTTTGCTTTATACCACGGAATTATGGATTCTCAAATCAATATCTGCCAAAACTGGGACTTGGAGTCTGATCACATTGCCCTTATTGTTAATCTACTAACAAATGGTTCCAATATCACCCGAAGCCCTCGGTTAATAACAAGTCGGACTGATCTCACTTCTTTCAAACAAATTCTTGATAACTCCTTTCAACTAAATTCTGCTCTGGACTCACGACAAGACATTGAGAATGCAGTTGACACTCTAACTAATAATATTTATATGGCTGCTTCTGCTTCGACGCCTTTGGAACCGGATTATCGTCCTATCAATTATGGTGTTGTTCTCACAAGGGAAGCCAAGGTGCTAATTGTAACAAAAAGGCGCCTTCGAAGAAGAGCAATTCGTTCTCAAGATCCTGAAGACCGTATTTTGTGGTACAGAGCTGCAATGCAACTTCGAACCCTTTTAAGGAGACTTCGAAGCGATTTTTTTGAGCATAAATTGTCTTCCATGGACTACACGGTGGATGCAAATTATTCACTGTGGAAATGTACAAAATCGCTTAAGCGCCAGCCCCTTAGACAGGTTCCTGTTCGGTGTCCCAGTGGTGAGCTCGCAAAAAATGAAGTGGAGCAGGCCAATGCTTTCGGTCTACATCTAGAAGAACGCTTCACTCCGTATAGCTTTGCATCGACAGTTCAGGTTAGCGAGACCCATCAAACTCTGGAGACGCCTCTGCAGATGTCGTTGCCAATAAAGCCTATAAGGATTGAAGAAATATCTGAAGTTATCCAGTCCTTACCGAAAAATAAGGCTCCAGGAATTGATAGAATTTGCAACGTAACGTTGAAGGCCTTGCCCATAAAAGCGATTCTATTTATAGCTTTAATATTTAATGCTATTATTAGGACTCAAGTGTTCCCAAAGCAATGGAAATTAGCAGCAATTCAGATGATCCACAAGCCAGGTAAGCCAGAGGCTGATCCTGAGTCTTACCGTCCGATAAGCCTCTTATCGTCCCTGTCCAAGTTGTGGGAGAGACTCATTGCCAATCGAATAGCAGTTATCATGAATCGAGACAATATCTTGCCAGACCACCAATTTGGTTTTCGAAGAGGACACGGCACTGTGGAACAAGTGCATAGATTGGTGAAACATATTTTGCAGGCCTTTGATGACAAAGAGTATTCCAACGCAGTTTTCATTGATATGCAGCAAGCCTTCGATAAGGTGTGGCATGTTGGACTTTTGCTTAAAATCAAAAACCTCCTACCTGCCCCCTACTATGGTCTTCTGAGATCCTACCTAGAAGAACGGGAGTTCAAGGTCAGAGTTAGGGACAGATACTCTGATAACTAT